ACAGCAAGACCATGAGGGACACAGGTAAACTACCCCACACACAGCAAGACCATGAGGGACACAGGTAAACTACCCCACACACAGCAAGACCATGAGGGACACAGGTAAACTACCCCACACACAGCTATACTATCAGGGATACAGGTACTCCTCACACAGTGAAACAGTTAGGGATATAAGTAAACTATCCCTCACACAGCAAAACAGTCAGGGATGCAGGTAAACTATCCTTCACACTGTGAAACAGTCATGAATATAGGTAGACTACCCCTCACAGAGCTACNCCCTCACACAGCAAAACAGTCAGGGATGCAGGTAAACTATCCTTCACACTGTGAAACAGTCATGAATATAGGTAGACTACCCCTCACAGAGCTACACTATCAAGGATATAGGGATAGATAAAGTACCCCTCACCATAGTTATACCGTCAGGAATATAGATAAACTACCCCTCACACAGATATACCATCTGGGATACAGGTAAACTACCCCTCACACATCTACACCATCAGAGATAGAGGAAAACCGCCCCTCACACATCTATACCGTCAGAGATACAGGTAAACCTCCCCTCTCACAGCTACACCATCAGAGATAGAGGAAAACCGCCCCTCACACATCTATACCGTCAGAGATACAGGTAAACCTCCCCTCTCACAGCTACACCATCAGGGATACCCCTCACACAGCTATAGGGATACAGGTATAGGGATACAGGTACACTCCTTTCCTTATACTCAGGGTAACTGCACTGATTGCTCACTACTGTAGTCCTGTTTGCTATTTTTAAATTCTTCAGCTACCTGATGCCTTTGTTTTGTGCAGACCTACCTGGTTTTGTAAATACTTAAAAATGTGAGCATATCTGTTTTGATATAGTATAGGATGACTAAATGGTCAGCTTTTTAAACATGTCAGCAACAACTTATACAGTACTGTGCAAGTCTTAGGAAGTCAAAAAAAATGTTTAAAGCTGTTTATCTGGGTAACAAGTGTACTTTGGCTTAGAACAAAAATACAATTTAACATTAGGATATATGCAAATTTAGAGCAACACAATAAAAACTAGTAAAAACCCCATGAGTTTGATAAATTTCACCACCAGTTAACTTAGTTAAAAAAGTCAAAAAGATATGATTAGCCATACAAAGTGTGTTAGTGGTTGAGTCAAAAAAAATACATGGCTGCACTGGACAGTTGCTGCAAATACTGGGGTGATTTTGTTTGTTGAAATCTTCAAATTTAAGGTGGAAAACAAGATTTATCAAGGTACCGTCATAACAAAACCAAGCCTGACCGACTCAACCTGTACTTTAACTTAGTCACAGGTGAATGTTACTGTTGAATTACATTGAATTTTATTGGTGTCAGGCACCACGCATTTATGAGCCATCGTCGTGCCTTTGTTCAAGTTCTTCTGCAATAGCAATTTAGCACATTTTTCTACCAGTTACACGTCAAATCTGATCAAACTGAGTAAGAATCCACCTTACAAAGTCAGAAAAAGACATAAACATTAAATGCTAATGTAACAAAAATTTTAGAATGCATATCTAACCCTGAACTGGGCTCCGTTTGAATTGTAAAGGGGGTACCAAAGAAAATCATTTTTGAGGGACCTCAGAACGAATAGCAAAAAATTAAAAAATGTATATTTTTAGACCAAGTGCACTTAATAGGATGGAAAAAAAATCAATTTGGTTAGTTTCAAGAACTTTATACATTTTTTGGACAACCCTAGGGCCCCATACACACATTTACACACCCCTGCTATAAGAGTGCACGTGACCTGCATCTATTTGCTCCGCAGTAAAAAAATGACTGAATATGCCCCCTGCTGGGATGCTGTACACCCTGCCCATTGTTTTTCCACTAGTGTTTTCAGTGTCGTTATCGGTGAAGCCTTAGACAGTCCTGAGCTCGTGTCCAGCCAGCACAGAATGGCCACCTCTGTCTGCGCAATCAAACACGAGCCGGCTAATGACTGACGGTTACATGATCCAGTCAGGCTGCTGCCAAACAGCTCTGGGGTGAGCAGCCTGGCTTTTCCACCCACCGCCCCCCCCCCACCCCGCTCTGGTTAATTATGTAATCATCTGGCGTGACCTTTTGATGCTAAGGGTCATGCAGGAATTTCTGATTCTGTTTATCTCCGTTCCTTTTTGGATGCGACGGACCCCAAGTTTGGGTCGCGTCCCGTTAAGTGCTTTGCTGCCTTGAGCACCATGCTTTCTCTCACCCTGTGTGTCTCTGTCCCCCCCCCCCCTCTCTGTTCCTCTCCCTGCACTCCAGCCTGGCCTCAGACATGGCCCGTTTTACTATGCCAAGCAGCCACTCACCACAGACCCTGTTGATGTTGTGCCGCAGGACGGCCGGAATGATTTCTACTGCTGGCTGTGCCACCGGGAGGGCCAGGTGCTGTGCTGCGAGCTCTGCCCGCGGGTCTACCATGCCCGCTGCCTGCGGCTGGCTGCCGAGCCCGAGGGCGACTGGTTCTGCCCCGAGTGCGAGGTACCCGGTGCCCATGCTCTGGCCCTGGGCCACGGGGGGTGGGGTGGGGAGAAGGACACATGGTGGGGTAGCAGCTTGGGCAGAGTGCGCGTTAGTGTGTAAAAAGTCTGTCTCTGCCACAAAGGAGAGTCACCATTGAGTGTCTGATACTGTACACAAACGAGTGTGATTCGGGCAGCATCAGTGGCATGACGAAGGATTCCTCAGAACGGCCAGTTCTGCCCCGACAGCCTCGGTTATGCCGACAAGCCTTACTCTCGCTAACTGTAGACAGTGTCCCTCTTTTATATGGACGTTATAATGAACATTTAAGTAAGACACAGTCTAACAACATAAAACATGATTAATCACAAAAAAAATGTAAACAGTGATATCATTCAGGAACCTGTAAGTTATAGATGGTTTCCTGACCACCTGCAGCCATCTGTGAACGCCGTCCTGTGACGCAGGAAACTGCATCCGCGTCACATGCCGAACGGAATCTCACGTTTTCGGTTCTGCTTTTGTCAGGGTCACCTGCTTATCATTCAATGTTCATTTCAGAGCCCTTCTTATAGAAACAGTAACCTGAGCTTGGTGAAGCAAATTTGCTGGAAGTGCAAAATGCGACTTATTGTAGATAATGTGTCATTCTAGTTTAGTCTAACACTACTGACCTGAAGTTAAGTGAGCATTATTCTTATAAACAGCAAGTGACAAAGGGAGGGTTTTCACAGTATTTAAAGTGCAAAACACAGGATAGTGTGAAACAGGGGGAATGGACACAAGGGTTTATATACATACATTATAGTCTATATATATCATGATTGCAATGTGCATGTCAACAATAAGTAATACAGCAGCAGCTCAACATGGACAAAGAAACATAGAAAAGCTAATGATAAATAGCTAAATAATACTAAGTCAGAGTGAGCAGTGCCAGTCTGAGGAGGCTTGGCTTGACCATTAGTATTTTAGCGTTAGCTGAGGCCTACCTGGTGTGAAGCAGCAGCTCCGTGGCGTCTGGTCTCGCCTGCAGAAAATCACAGTGGCTGAGTGCATCGAGACCCAGAGCAAGGCCATGACCATGTTGACCACGGAGCAGCTCTCCTACCTGCTCAAGTTCGCGTTGCAGAAGATGAAGCAGCCAGGGGTGAGTGCATGGGGGGAGCCCCTCAGGGAAGCCCCGACGCCTGGGTGCGAGTGTGGGGAGAGGTTGGGCTGGATCCTGAGACATATGCCGTGTAGAGAAGAGCACCTTTTATTGACCTTCTGTATGCTTAACCAGGGCAGTGACCCTAACCCCAACCACAAAGGCATGCCTGTCTGCTTTCAGAATGGCAGCCTTCTTAGTGACGTTGCCCCTCGCCTCTTGCTTGGGCTGCATCTGCCCAGAGACCTTGCTGGGTAAACAAGGGTTTCGTCTGCCTCGGCTGAAATCCGCTCTGTCCTCTCGTCCCTGGAGCAGACCGAGCCATTTCAGAAGCCCGTGTCCCTGGAGCAGCATCCAGACTATGCCGAGTACATCTTCCACCCGATGGACCTCTGCACGCTAGAGAAGGTAGGCAGGAGCGGGCCGCGCTGTTCATTGGGCATTCTAGAGCCGTTTGATGATCACATGACTGGTGTTATATGATGGTGGACTTTCCATTTGGCAGAACGTCAAAAAGAAAATGTACGGGTGCACAGAGGCATTCCTGGCTGATGTTAAATGGATCCTGCATAACTGTATCATTTACAATGGCGGTGAGTCGATCCCAGATGTCCAGGCGGCATGGGTGTCATCATTCTCAGTGTCATTGCTATTATTATCGGTTCATATTATTGTCGGGTTCAATTTCATTCATTTGATTGATTAAAATTGCCCTCATCCTAGGTAACCACAAACTGACGGCCACAGCGAAAGTCATAGTGAAAATCTGTGAACATGAAGTAAGCATCCTCACGCTCTGCACGTCTTTGTGTGAGCCCATCACTGCTGACTGCACTTCCTAGTAAAGGTTTTCTTGTTGAGCTGTTTCATGGTCTTTTGTGAATGATCAGTCAGGAGGTCATTACAATAGTCCGGTCTACTTGAGATAAATGCATGCATCGTTTTCTCTAGGTCCTAATTAGGACCACAGCCTCTGACTTTGAGTATATTTTCAAGATGATAAAATAGCACCTTAGTTATGACTTTGACGTGGTTGCTGAAGATAAGGTCAACGTCCATTATTACACCAAGATTTGTAACTTGACCTGTGCTCTGTAGAGCCTTACTACCCAGCGAAACATTTAGTTTAAGTCCAGTCTACCAAAAAGCATTATTTCAGTTTTGTCTGTCACACCTTATCCATGCATATAACAAAAAAACTATTGAGTTTGGATTTTACAAGATCAGACTCATGCATAAATGACTGATAAATGTTCATATTTATCCAACCCACCTAATATCTTTAGCTCTTCTCGTTGTGTATCCTGGATGCTCCTCTCGGCCTTTGGTTGAGTAGCTCTCTAGTTAGCTTCTTGCTATGCCGTAGCCTGCTGTCCGGCTATCGCTATGCTAACTGTCCCATGTAACTGCTCTCACTGGAATCTCAGCCTAGATACACTTATGCCTATGCTAGCTCCTTGTCAGCTGTGTGCTTGTGATGTAATATCCGCCTCACTCTTTGCTAAATTGTTGTATGTAATATAAATTTTCATACTGTTGAGTAGCCCGTCTCTGTCCACAGATGAATGAAATCGAAGTTTGTCCAGAGTGTTACCTGTCGGCTTGCCAGAAAAGGGACAACTGGTTTTGTGAGCCATGCGTAAGCTTTCCCCGCCCGACACCCGCCGCGCCACGCGAGTTCAGCCAAGGCGCTGCCGCAGCTGCCAAGGCTTTCCCATCTGTGTGTCACCCCTACCTGCTTCCCGGGGATGCTGTCAGACCATCCTTTACAACTTTAGGGTCCTTTACGTGTTTAGGGTTAAGATAAGATACTTTGTTGTCACTGCACACAAAGCAGAGAAATGTCATTCAGCAGCTCACCAGGCAGACGGACAGCGTATATACATAGACAAGGACAGTAAATAAATCCACACATGGATAGACTCAGAAATACACAATGTACAAAGAACTATGAAGCCAGAAATATACAAACAGCAGGAAAATTGTAACCGGATCCAAGGATTGTATTGCATATTGGTGTGAGGGACGTATGTCATTTACAAAGACAGGAGGTGACTACTCTTGCTAATAGCATTGCATGTGAAACGTTATCTAAGCCGTGCTCTAATCCTGACGATGTGCCATGTCTTTTAGAGTAACCCACACCCACTGGTCTGGGCCAAGCTGAAGGGCTTCCCCTTCTGGCCGGCAAAGGCACTGCGGGACAAAGATGGACAAGTGGACGCCCGATTCTTCGGACAGCATGACAGGTGAACAGCTTCACGTCCTGCTGGTTCGGATTGGCACACCACTTGCCATGTGATCAGCTGGATCATGGCATGACCTTCTCTGATACATTTCATTTAGGGTGACCAGATAATCCATGTCAGGGAGGACACTCTGAGCTAGGACAGGATTTGTAAATTACCATTTCAATGAAACGGACCTGGATTTCACTTGAGCGCTGAGTTCTTGCTGTGTGCTGATTGGTCAGCCTCCTATAATCATGCATGTGTCACTAATGCTAATGCGAAACAGCTGGATGAGTCTTTCAGTCAAGGAAACAAACCAGTCAAAGCACAAGAAGAGCTGAACTATTTAGTTGAGCACAGGAGCCTTTCAATTTGAAAATAGTTTGTAAAACCCGAAGTAGCTCAAAGTCTCCTCCCTGACATGGATTATCTGGTCACCCTAATTTCATTCATTTATTTATCATTTTTGCCAGTCTGTTGAGGCTTTAGGTCTGCCTCCTGACCTGGCACAGTAATCCAGCAGTGTCCTAAAAGGTTCATCCGCCAGAGGGGTTCTCCTCTGTAATCCCAAACAAGCTACCTTATCTCAATCCCTGCTGTAGGTTAAATGGAACATATAAAGGTATATGTGGTACCAATTACAGTTCAAATAGAATAAGTATCATATTTACTATGATATTAGACCTTTACAACATATATCATAATCAAACACATACATCCATCCTCCATCCATTTTCCAACTATTTACCTATTAGAGGGTCATTGGGAGGCCTGCAGCCTTTCCCAGCAGCACAGGACACAAGGCTGGGGTACAGCTTGGACAACATGTCAGTAGAACCAAATAAATATTAAATCGATTTAGGGTACAATCATTTAGTAAATAAGGGATTTATTATAGTTTTGACCTAACCCTGTAATTTGCCCTTCTCTATTATCTGTTACACAGTATAATGGCTTTTTCCAATAATCCATAAAATTTACATAAATTCCATTAGAATGAAGTACAGCCAAGCAAAGGTCATTTTTGTGAGTGAGCAAATACAGAGATAAACCTTATTCTGTGTGACCAAGAAGCAGAAGCACCACTACCTGTTTGTTTAATATGCTCGGCCGTTTACTTTCCGCAACCTGGTGTTAATGTGTTTCAATGTAAGGAGAATATGGTTCAGGTCACACAGTGAACCATTCCACGTGGCGGGGGGGATGGGGGGGGTGTTAGGGGAGATCTGGAATAACCACGTAAAATTGTTTGGTTCCCTTGGCGAGCGGAGTATAGCATTTCAGATTTTAGTAGAGTTTAGGGCACTAAAACGGAAAAAGGAAGGAAAAGGGCACAAAAAGATACGAGAAACGTGAGATATACAAAGATCACTGTGAGATCACTGTGAGATCACTGCGAGATATCACTTGAGTGGTTGCCGTAAACACGCTTGGTGTCTGCCATGCAAGCACTGTACATATACTTTATGCATTTATGAGTTACTAAACTTTTTGTGTATTTGCGACTTGTGCAAAACTCGCGAAAGATTTCTATTTAATTTCTTATGCTGACCCCATGACATACTGCTGTGGTGCAGAAAGTTTTTTTTTACTGATTGGTTGTTATTGTTGATATGTCACAGCACACAGTGCACAACAAAAGAAATGCGTCCTCTGCATTTAACCCATATGAGACATCATGACATAGCAGGGGGCAGCTATTATTTGGCACCTGGGGAGCAGTACATTCCTCAGGGTACCCCAGTGGTTGGGGATTTCAACCAGCATCCTAAGCATGCTTCCCTAACCATTAGGCCACCACTGCAAAATTGAAGCGCCCAACATGGGGCTTGAACCTACAACCCTGAGATGAAGGGTCTCATGCTTTACTGACTGAGTTAACCAGATTGTGGAAGGGTTGACAGTATATCTAAAGTACTATGGCCATAGAGATGACTGTGGCATTGGTGTGTAAATAAAATGTGATCTGTCTGAATGTAAGTGGTGTGTGATCTCTGCGCTCTTCCGACAGTGAGCTTCATACATTGTTTCCCTGTCCTCCTTTCAGGGCCTGGGTCCCCATTAACAACTGCTACCTCATGTCTAAGGAGATCCCTTTTTCTGTGAAGAAGACCAAGAGCATCTTCAACAGTGCCATGCAGGAGATGGAGATCTACGTGGAGACTTTCCGCAAGAAGTTCGGTGTCTTCAACTATGCCCCCTTCAGGACGCCCTACACTCCTGACAACCAGTTCCAGATGCTGCTGGATCCCTCGAACCCGGCAGCCGGCTCAGTGCGACCTGAGCGGCAGGAGAAGATCAAGCTCAGCTTCGACATGAGTGCCTCCCCCAAGGTGCTCCCGGGTCGAGCCACGGCGCCAGCATCGGCGGGGCGTCGGGTCTCGCCCGCCGATGCGCCACGTTCACCCACGAGCACCAACTCGTCCGCCCACACCGGCTCAGATGGGGAACAGGAGGTGCCAGAGAAGTGTGGCAGGGGCCCCTCTGGCCTGTACAGTGCTGGCGAGGAGAGCATGGACTGCTCAGGTAGATACCCATCTCATACCTCGCAACCACAGTCTGTCCCATTCATCCATCCATCCATCATCTTATTATTTACTCATTTGTCAATAATTATTAAAAACACTGAATTTTATCAGACACGTACATGATTTACAGCATTGTTTTGTGTAGTAGACAGTTTTTTTTATCCAAAGCAATGTACGTTGATAAAGTAGGGATAGTCAGAGCAATTTGGGATTAAGGACCTTGTTCAAACGCCCAACATCACACTTTTGACACTGGGATTTGATCTGGCGACCTTCCAGTGACAGGCACACACCATATCTCTAATACACACTCCCACAGCAGACAAAAAAAGAATATAATTTTTTAATTGCCATTTTACCTGCTTAGACACTTGCATCCTACAAGGCATCTCACCATCTAGCTACAGTATGACTTGGAAACAGATGATGTTAAATTAGAACTGGAAACCAGTGATAAAGTCAGGAAATTGTGTGATTGCAAGTCAGTGGTACAGCATCCCCACCCGACCGCCCAGGTCAGCTTATTCTAAGTTTCATGTCATATTTTTGTGTCTTTAATGCCACAGCATCTCCAGCAGCAACTAAATCCTTCTCACCACATGGCCCCCCGATGGCCACGGCCCCTAAACCGGAGCGGATCTCAGCCGCGGGGAGTATACTGAACCTCAACCTGGGTGAGCCTCTGGCCCTTGTCGCAGCCTGATCAGTCTTGCCTCACCCTCAACACGCCCTTTCTGTACACTATCACTCCTTCATCACATCATTGCCACAAACTTCTTCTCATGTCATTATTACTACATTATTACTACAAGATGGCAGACTCTCACTGACTCCTGCCAGTCTACTGTCCAGAGGAACCTGCATAGCTTTCTATGCCTAATCTGCCAGGCAGCTACACTGAATTACTTTGGGTTCAGTGTCCTTGATGTAGGAGAAGGCTGTCCATTTGGTATCAGAACCAGCATGTTGACCTCCTTAAACCTCAAGTCTGCATGAGGGTCTGCCTGACCTCTCCCAGCCGGCTTGAGATGGGATGGTGTACTTCTGCTCTGAAGCCACCGTGGGCCGGGGTGTTTTGCAGATCGCAGTAAAGCCGAGATGGACCTGAAAGAGCTGAGTGAGACGGTGCAGCAGCAGCAATCTCTACCAATAGTCCTGACCTCTCCGAAGAGGCAAATCAGGAGTCGCTTCCAGCTGAACCTGGACAAGACCATTGAGAGCTGCAAAGCACAACTGGGTTTGTATGGGACTAAGCAGATTTGACATCCTCACTGTTATTATCGTTTGCTGGTAACCATATATACACATAGACATTCCTCCAGGCTTCCCAGTGGCATGTTCATTGTAATGATTGTACCCAACTGCCTTTTTACAAGCTGTATGATCTTCTCTGACGCAGTGGATCTTTTTTTATTATACCTGAAGTAATGTAGCTTCAACCTGGTCCTCTGTGCTTCAGGGAAGTTCAGTTTAGGGTTAGGAATCGGTTTAGGGTTAGGAATCGAGTTGTTTGTTTGCCTTCTAGTGCCTGGTATTCCTAAAACTATTAAAAGATCAGTACTCTTCCTGTCCTGGTTCCTCACAACCATAAAGAGTCAGAGAAAATACCATATTTTGAACAATTCCGATCTTTGTTCATAGAGATACCCCAATATTTTTCAAGATGTTTTTCTAGGTTAAAGTTGCAGTATTCAAAGTGTTTCTTTACTGCTAGACCCTTAATGATTGATGGCTGTTCCAATACCGGTCTACGACATCAAGGTCTTCACCATGAACAATAAAGTTAGCTGTGGTTCCTGTAATTATAACCTGTTTCCCTCACGTTCAGCCATACTCCCATCTCTTTAGTCTATTCTTTAACCTTCTTCATAAGCATTTTCAGATTGTCTTCATGATCAGTGTAGTGTACAATCAACAGCTCTCCTCTTCCAGTACAGCATCTCTCATTATATGTTCTGTGTACTGGTCCAATAGGTATTGTGATAGTATATAACTTATTGGTTGATCTGGAACCAGTCAGTGTCTTCCTATTCCATTGTTACTCTGGGTTTTTCTCCAGTGTAGAGTGTAGGAAATGCTCTGGTTGACTGATTTATTAGAAAAAGTTCTCTAATAAAAGGTACAGCATAATGGTCTTTTCTCATGCTTATAACTGACTACTCATGCTAATAGAGCTGGAGTATTGCTGTTACACTGTACTCATACTAACAGAGCTGACTCATTACCAGTACAATGTACTAATGCTAATAGAACTGGAGTATTGCCATTATACTGTACTCATGGTAATAGAGCTGGAGTGTACTCATACTAACAGAGCTGGAGCATTGCCATTACAATTTACTAATGCTAATAGACCTGGAGTGTTGCCATTATACTGTACTCATGCTAATACAGGTGGAGTATTGCTATTACACTGTACTTATGCTAACACAGCAGGAGTATTACTGTTACACTCCACTCATGATAAGCTAGAGTATTGCTGTTACATTGTATTCATGCTAATAGAGCTGCTGTATTGCTGTTGAACTGTATTCATGCTAATACAGCTAGAATATTGCTATTACACCATACTCATGCTAATAGAGCAGGTATATTCCTGTCATATTGTGTTCATGCTAAAAGAGCTAGAGTATTACTGCTACACTATACTCATGTTAATAGAGCTGGAGTATTGTCATTACACTGTACTCATGCTGAGCTGGAGAATTGCTCTACGTCAATAGAACTGGATACTATAGTGTTTCAGGCTAAGGACCTACTTCAGTGGTTTATCCATATTGATATTATAAGTGTAGGGCTCGTTTTCCTGCACCTGTTCACTGGCTTAATCATCCTCCTATTTCCCTTCAGGAATAGACGAAATCTCCGAGGATGTGTACAAAGGTGTGGACCACAGTGACTCGGAGGACTCAGAGAATTCCGATTCCAGCGACCCAGAGGATGGGAGTGACGAGGACCAGAAAGCAAAAGGTGGCCAGGACGAGGCTGAAGACAAGGACGGAGATGGAAGAGATGGCAAACGGAAGGCTAGGGTACCGCCAGCGGGTGAAGAGAAAGAGAGCAGCACAGATGCCAAGGCGGGATTGGCCGCAGGTGAGAAAGCGGCAGGTGCTGCCGAGCCTCCAGCGAAGGAGCTGCCAGGCACCGACACAGATAAGGAGCCTCCGGAGAAGTGCGGGTCGACATCGGGTACGGCCACACCCCCCTCGAAGGACAAACCTCGGGTAAAAGAGGAAGGCAAGCAGCCTACACCCCCCAACCCAGATCCAGAGCCCGACTCGGACTCGGAGCAAGAGCTGGTCATCGACCTCGGGGATGAGCAGGCCGGTGGGGAGCGTAAGAAGAACAGGAAGGAGCCCGGGACCACCTCCACACCCAAGGACCCCAGCGCTCCTCCTCCAGAGTGTAAGGCTCCTCTCCAGTCACTCTCCACATTGGCCTAAGTTGCAGACATTTACATTACATTTATTTTATTTAGCAGACACTCTTGTCCAAAGCAACACACAAGAGGGGCAAATAGCACATTGCAAACATGCAGCTGTCAAGGAATCCACATAAGTGCAGCTAGACTTAGCTTCTAAAGAATGTCCAGGTACAAGTGTAAGCAGTATTGGAACAGGAGCTACACAACTATCTTCCAAACAAAGCAAGAACTAACACCCAGAAAGGCTGTAGGACTGCAGGGAGTACCTGGATTGTAATCTTTATTGTAGTGCATCATCCATTATTCTTTGTGGGAGACCAGCTGAATAGACTGTGCCATCACCACACAGCAAACCCGGGCTCAAATGTGTCCCCAGGGCCGTCTGTGCTAGTCATTTTATTTGAGTGTGAATATGCTCCAGGTCAAGTTCTACAGGTACATTTCTGAATCTGGCCTCTTATGCAGGAGGTATCGCGGCGTACGGTCTGTGCTTCCTCAGGAATGGCTCCGGACCATTTTCCTGACTGGATAAGTGGCCGTTGAAGCTGGATCCAAGAGTACTTTATGTTGTCCTCTGCCCATTTATGTAACTCAGTCTATTCCTTACAGCAGGGGCAGCCAGTCACCATAAATAGAGTGTGAACCCTCCAGGTTTTAGAGAACGAGTTTTAAATTAGCACCTCTGACAGATGACACATTAGGTCAGGTGACTTTCATTCTACATATCAGATACAGAATTACAGTGAACATGGACCATAAACACGGGGTACAATGGCAGGGAGCACAATGGCAGGTCGGGTTCCAGTCCATAATAGGGCACACACTCCCACACTACAGCTAATTTTAGTGACACTAATTTGCCTAACTGCATGCTTTTTGGACTGTGAAAGGAAACCGGAGTATTGGAGAGGAAACCCATGCAAACCCGGATAGAACATGCAAACTTGACATTGACACAGCTGGCTGCAGGGCCCCCAACCCCCAACTGCCCTCTGAGTCACCCTGCAATCCAAAGAGTGACCCACTGTGCTGCCCAATGAGCCGCTGAGCCACCCAATGAGCTGCCCAATGAGCTGCTGTGCCACCCAATGAGCTGCCCAATGAGCTGCTGTGCCACCCAATGAGCTGCCATGCTGCCCAATGAGCTGCTGTGCCACCCAATGAGCTGCTGTGCCACCCAATGAGCCACCGTGTCGCCCAATGAGCTGCCATGCTGCCCAATGAGCTGCTGTGCCACCCAATGAGCTGCTGTGCCACCCAATGAGCCACCGTGTCGCCCAATGAGCTGCCATGCTGCCCAATGAGCTGCTGTGCCACCCAATGAGCTGCTGTGCCACC